CTCTCATGAAAACTGTGTATAATCACCACAGATTAAAGTCCCCGAAAAATCTTTACTCCTTCTGTTGTGCAATCTCGGGCTCACTTTTTGCCAGCAGCACCTATGTTGACCTTTGCAGTCTCCCAGACTTTCTTCATTCTGTTCTTGCATTCCTTTCTCTGTTTTGATGGGGGGTCTTGTCATATACGCCATGTCTTGCAAGTCTGTGTTTGGGTTCATTTTTGTTAGCATAATCCAAGGAATCATAAATCATGCCAAAGCCAGTTATCCTGCCACCACCAAAATAGGTTCTGAGTACAAACAGATGACATCTGGTGTGGTCTTATACATCTGGGCTAGTTTCTCCAGATTTTCTGCTGTAGGTCCTGTTGTTGCCTTCCCAGGGTGAGGGATGTCAATGATCATTTGTTTCCACTGAAGTAGTCTGTTGGTCTGAACTTCCTGGTTATGATAGTTCCTGTGTTGTTCATGATGGTGGCTAATCTTCAAGTAGCCAGGGAGGAAAAAGCAGAAAATATATTTTTTTAAAGTGTGGGGGTAATAAGGGACAAACTATGGAGTATGTGTCTGAAAAAAGGTATGGCAATCTGGCTGGGTAGCTCAGTTGGTTAGGGCATTGTCCCTGAGATGCCAGGTTTGTGGGTTCCATCCCTGGTTGGGCACAGACAAGAATCAACCAATGAGCCCCTGCTGGTGTGGGTTGAGCACCAGCCTGGGGATGGGAAGGTCGCTGGTTTGATTCCCAGTCAGGGCACATGCCTGGGTTGCTGGCCAGGTTCTCAGTTGGGAGCATACAGGAGGCAACTAATCAATGTGTCTCTCACGCATTGATGTTTCTCTCCCTCTCTTTTTCCCCTCCCTTCCCCTCTCTCTAAAAGTAAATAAGTAAAATTTTTAAAAACCCAACAACATAAGAATCAACCAGTGAATGCATAAATAGGTGGAATAGCAAATCTGTTTCTCCCTCCCTTCCTCTCTCCCTCTTCCTTTTTCTCTCTAAAAATCAATAAATAATTTTTTTAAATGTATGGCCAGTTACTATAGGGCAGTGTTATTAAAATGGGAGTGATTTTGCCCCATAGGGGACATTTGGGAGAGTCTGGAGATATGTTTGGGCTACTGGCATCAAGTGGGATGCAGGATGGAACCTACCCCTCAACTTCCATAGAATTATCCAGCCCAAAATAGCATTAGGGCTACCCTCCTGTATAAAAGGGATGTGGGACTAGGAGAAAGTGTCCTGTGTCCTGAGTCTTCCGATTTCTCTGCCCAGCCATTAGCTTCCCCATTATAAAAGTTTTTTGTTTTTTTTTTCTATTGCTTACTCTTACTCCAGCCTTGAACTTGGGGCAGAAATCAGAGTACTTAGTAGATAATTGTAACGTTTATTATCTCCTTTTCTCTCGTTCTAGTGGAAGCTGTTGCTGCCCTAGGGAACAAAGTCGTGGAAAGCCTAAGAGCACAGGATCCTTCTGAAGGTTTGAGTTTGTTGCTGAGCATGTATTTAGTGGTCAGAGGAGCCAGGTCTGTAATTCTAAGTACATAGCTAACAAAGTCTGGTCAGGCTAGAAGGAAGAGTGAAGGAAGAGTTTTATGTTGGGGAAGTTTTGGCAGAGATCTCCAGTGTTCAAAATCCCGGTGATCTCCCTTACTTTAAAAACTCTATTGTAAATCCTCATTTTGAACTACTGCTACTTTTGAAAACCTATTTATTCCCTCACCCCAGATTTATCTTTGATCATCTAACAGAAATGTGAGAGTTAGAGCTTTTAATTTCCTTTTTTAAAAATTATTTTATTATTTCTATTACCACTCTCCTCCTTCCCTCTTGTACCTCCATCCTCCCCACCCCCTGCCCACTTTTTCTTTCAGTTTTGACCATGCTGACCAATGAAACTGGTTTTGAGATCAGTTCTTCTGATGCTACAGTGAAGATTCTCATTACAACAGTGCCACCCAATCTCCGAAAACTGGATCCAGAACTCCATCGTTAGTACTTTTATTCCATTGCTGGGAAATTTGGGGGAAGTTCAAAACATAGTATAAAGTTGCTGTTGAGTTTACTTAGGTTGTTGCCATTCCACATGAAACCATCTAGGACCTAAGTTTATTCTCAAAATTTGCTACCTCCATCTGTATTGTGAACACAAGTTTGCTAGTGAAATTGTCAAAGACAGGATGACCAGAAAAGCAGTTTGAGGACTTAAGAAAAAGAACCAAGGAAATATTTATGGAGGTGGGTTAGGCTTTTGGAGAAGATTGTGGACTTCGTATGCCTCTAGATTTGGTCTAGGGGACGAATAGTGAGTTTTGGACAAGTGATTTGCTGATCTGAGGAACATGGAGTGGTATAAAGAAATACAGTATCCTGTCCTCTTTCCAAGTTACTGAACTATGGCAATGGGATTGAATTGCTTGCTTAATAATAGAAATGTTTCATCTTGGCCTGTTATGCTTCTAGTGGATATCAAGGTGTTGCAGAGTGCCTTAGCAGCCATCCGACATGCCCGCTGGTTTGAGGAAAATGCTTCTCAGTCCACGTGAGTCCCTCCCTTGGTATTAAGATAACCTAACTCTTCTAAGTATAGTGAATAGCAGGATACCCCTATACTTCATCTGACAACGTTTCTGGCTCCCGATTTTCTCTCTGGATTTTGAATTTTACCTTAAATAAGAAAATTTAAATTGAGACAAGAGATTGTATAGTTCTGGAAATAGCTTCAGCTGTATACCTTAGGTGTGGAAGTACATGGTCATACTACTTTTAATCCCTGGGTTCTTCTTACCTTCAGAGTTAAAGTTCTCATCAGACTTCTGAAGGACTTGAGGATTCGTTTTCCTGGCTTTGAGCCCCTTACACCTTGGATCCTTGACCTCCTTGTAAGTAAAGAAGGGCATTTGGGGTTTCTTCCTGGTCATTCCTATTTAACAGTAGTTACTCTGATGTCTATCAGAACCTGAAATTTGATGAAGCTTAAAAGAAACCTCATCGGTGGACAACTAACCCAATAAAGATTCAGTGTTTCCTTGGCTCAGTTGCCTGAGTCAGTTGGTGTGACTCAGTTGGTTGGAGTGTTGCCCTGTGCACTGAAGGGTTTGGGTTTGATTTCTAGTTGGGCACATGCCTAGGTTGTAGGTTTGGACCCTGGTTGGGCACATACAAGGGGCATGTGATTGATGTTTCTGTCTTTCTCTCATCAAATATGTATTTAAAAAAAAAGATTCAGTGCTTATTATTATTACTTCAGGGATTTTTAGTGCTTTAAATAGTTATTACTGCCCCTTTGTCTTTTTTATTATGCTGTCATTTCATTAATATGATAATGGAGAGAACATATTAGATGAGCAGTCACTTCAGAATCACTTCGGAACATGAAAATTTTGGCTAGGCCTTAATAACCAGTTTTCTTTATAATGGTTTATGGTTTTAGTTTATTTGAAGATAGACTGCTGTTATTTATGGCACACTTACCAGGTTTATTTTCCAGGGGCACTATGCCGTGATGAACAACCCCACCAGACAGCCTTTGGCCCTAAACGTGGCATACAGGTAGAGCATACTTCTCTGGGTTTGGGGCTAGATGTAAATCATCTCGATGTTTTAATACTTCCCTGTGTTTCAGGCGTTGCTTGCAGATTCTGGCCGCAGGACTGTTCCTGCCAGGGTCAATGGGTATCACAGACCCCTGTGAGAGTGGTAACTTCAGAGTACACACAGTCATGACTTTGGAACAGCAGGTATTAGGACAGCTCTTAAATGGTCTGTTTTGTCTCATTCTTGAATATCCTTGGGTCAGAAGGCAAAGGGAACGTGGTCTTTAGGGGTCAAGGATTTGGGGGTTCTCACATACTTTGGTCTTGAAATTAAAAAGTTGCCTTTATCTCTGTTTTCATGAGAATGTTAGTAACATAATGGTACTTTGATTCTCGTTGCTTATTTGCCCTCACTTTGTTCTCTTTCAGGACATGGTCTGCTACACAGCGCAGACTCTGGTCCGGATCCTCTCACATGGTGGCTTTAGGAAGATCCTTGGCCAGGAGGGTGATGCCAGCTGTGAGTGACCACAGGGCCAGGGCTTCTTTGGAGTATTCTGTGTTCTACAAAGCAGCTCTACATTGCTCAGACATCTTAACATTTTCACTGTGTAGATCATGACTTCTGTGTTGGGCTACTTGTCTGAAATCACCTTTTTTTACTCTTCTAGATCTTGCTTCTGAAATATCTACCTGGGATGGAGTGATAGTGACACCTTCAGAAAAGGCTTATGAGAAGCCACCAGAGAAGAAGGAAGGAGAGGAAGAAGAGGAGAATACAGAAGAACCACCTCAAGGAGAGGAGGAGGAAAGCATGGAGACTCAGGAGTGACTGTCCCTTATCTTCACCCTTTGTTACCCAGAGGGAAGACTGAAGCTTAATTAAGCTAACTGCTACTGGGCTTTACATGGTGGCATTTCTGAGGGATGTGGAGACAGGAAGGGAAAAAAAATAAGCTCTATGGAAGGAAGTGTCATCCCACTTAGTTCTTATATTGACTTAATAACTAGAAGTCTCCCATGTATAATGAAGCAAGGTAACAACTTTTCTTCATAATACTGTACAATCCCCAGCTCCTGGAAACCTCTTTCAACCAGTACTTTGTTGTTGAAATGTCAACTGTTCATGCCTCAATTTTTTTTTTTTTTTCTAAGAAAAATGATTAAAGTACTTCCTAGTAGGGCTCTTGGTCTTGTTTTTCTGTGGTATGTGGCCACTTTTATTGCTTGCTTTTTCTTTCCATTGAAAATGCTACTCAACCCCTGGCTGGTGTGGCTCAGTGGATTGAGTGCTGGCCTGGGAACCAAAAGGTTGCTGGTTTGATTCCCAATCAGGGCATATGCCTGGGTGACCAGTTGGGGGCGTGTGAGAGGCAACCAATTGATGTATCACACGGATGTTTCCCTCTTCCCCCTCTCTAAAAATAGTAAATAAATACAATCTAAAAAAAAGAAAACACTATAAAGTATTTTCATTGTGAACACTAGATCACAATTTGAAGCTGTATTTGAATTGAAGTACAAAGACTCTTGGAACTTTTCCACATACCAGAGTAAACTAGAATGTTGTTTGAGCATTTATTAAACTGTTTTAACACTGCTGCTGCATTCAAGCTAGTGAAATCCACAAGAGGGTAGATAGGTCATTCACATTGACTTTGCCTGCCCTCCAAATCCTCAGTATAAATAGAAAAATGAGAAGTCATAGGCAAAGGATATGCTGCTCAAGTGCCAACAACCAACTATGTAACAGGAAGCCCCTCCCTGGTTAACTAGGCTTGAGGGTAACTGGGTCTTAAGTATGTACCTTTAAAAAAATTAAATGTAGCCCTGGCCTGTGTGGTCTGGAGTGGAGACCAAGATCATGGATTGGATTCCCGGTCAGGTCACATATCCAAGTTGGGAGGTTTGATCCCCAGTTGGGGCACATTTCTCAAAGCGATGAAAACAATGTCCTCAGGTGAGGGTAAAAAAAAATCAAATGTAGAGGTCTCAGCTCATTCTTGGAAGGAAGCAAGAGCTGTAATAAATCCTTTGGGATCCTGAGTCCTGTAGGTACATAGGCTTCTTTGGACTCCCACTTAAATGGGTAAGACTTAAGTGTTTCAAACACAAATGACAGCACTGTCCTGATGTCTCAGGATATCCTGGAGGCAATGAGGCAGCTGGAAAACAGTACTTGTGCTATCCTGAGGCCATGGGACCATCTTCCGGCCTGTTACTTGCTTGGGGAGCCAGGGGGGTAAACTCCTGAATCCAGCATTGCCCTCCTTCGGGCTGTTTCCTTGGCAACACTGTGGTTTAGCCTCCTGAGCCGTTCCTACAAGACAAGATTTGGAGATTTAGTAACTCCTCTGTGAAAGGCTTTAGAGCACACTGTCATCCAGGCACTGGAAAGTATCAGATTTGCTCCATCTCAATGCAGGTCTTCTAAGGTATACAGGAATGTAAATGACAGCAACTTGGTATTGAGAAACAGTTCTGTCATGACAGACATTAATTTAGTTGACAACTCTCCTTCTAATTGAAAAATTACTTTTTTTTGCCCTAGCTGGTGTGGTTCAGTGGACTGGGCAGTGGCATGCGAACCAAAGGGTTTGATCCCCAGTCAGGGCACATGCCTGGGTTGCAGGCCAGGTCCCCAGCGGGGGGCATGCGAGAGGCAAGCACACATTGATGTTTTTCTCCCTCTCTTTCTTCCCGTTTCTAAAAATAAAATCTTTTAAAAAAAGATTTGTGTTGGAGACTTTGAGACATCCCTTGAAAATTGGAGTCATATCCTGAAAACTTAGAAAGCAGAGCAAAGATTCACTATTGTTAGGATATTCTTTTACCTGGGCATTCTGCAGAATGTTGTTGACCAAGACAACTCGTCGCCGGGCATTAAGTAGCTTCTTCACATAGGGGTCGAGATCCAGGGCCACTTTCTGATCCTCATTGATACGGCACAGTTCTGTGAGTGGAAGTAACGTGCAACTAACACCTACTGGCTCATTTCTTGTTCTTAGGCAAAGCAGGCTAGTAAATGGGAAGGAAAACACTCGTGTACCTACATGGCCTACAGTCACTAGAAACTTCAAGGAATCTGTTGGCAGGCTTGCTGCGCTGCAAGGAAATGACGGCAAACCCGGCCCAGAGGACGGCAAAACATTGGATTCTAAAAGTGAGCTGGAGAATTCCGGATACACAGGGATGCTTACTCACCAGTAGCTAGGTTGTCAATTTGTTCCCGCAGCTCTACCTGGCTCTCTCTGCAAAGAAGTACAAGGCCTACAGGGTCAATCAATGGAACTGAAGAAACCCGTTCCCCTACGTGTTTCCCTACTGCTGAGAGAAGGCAGATTCACACCCTACTACTTCCCATCCCGGCGAGGCCGTTCCGCCCTCCTCCAGTTTCCCAAATTTATTCTTATTCTCTTCAGAACCTTGGCAGAAACCAATCTTGCTTCCGCCCTCTCTCGGCCCCGCCCCTACAAAGCCAAATCGAGAGGCCCCGCCCCAATCTCCCCTCTCCGGCACCTGACGGCGTGAACGTGAGAGTCGAGCTGCTGCACAGCAGGTCGCAGGAACTCGAGGAGCCCCTCGGCGAAAAGGTCGCGGCCTGCAGGCCCGGCCACCGGGGTCCCCGCCCTGGATACAGCAGCGGAACCAGGCCCCGCCATCACGAATTGCCCTCACGCCGGAATCTGCCGCGAGGGCCGCCGGGAACTGAAGCCCAGCTGAAATGGCCGCGAGGGGGCGCCCGGGAAACGCCGACTCCCACCCAGCCTCCGGGATTTCTGGGAAATGAAGTCTGGAGCTCGCAGGGTGGGGAGAAGGGCCAGACCTTAATGCTCTCGGTAGTTGTAGTTCTTCATAAGCCTTGAAGGGGCGGATATTTTTTAAATTTCCAGACTTAAGGAGCTAGGGAAAGGATTGATTTTGGGAGGGGTGGGTACTTTTTGTTCTCTCTGAATGTGAAAAATAAATTCTATCCCTAATTGCCCATAGCCTTGCTATGCTAACTTTATGAGAAAACCAGAATACATTCATAGAATAGTTTTATATTGCTATTTCTAAATTTATGAGTATATTTTAATGGCACTAAAATATGTACAAAACCGTGTATAAATATTATTCACCCTGAAAAAGGGATGAAATTCTACTACCTGCTACCATATAGATCAACCTTGCAGACTTTATGCTAGGTGAAATAAGCCAGACACAAAAGGACAAATATTATATGATTCCATTTATATGCAGTGCATACAGCAGTCAAATTCATGGAGATAAAATGTTTTATCTGTGTATCGGAACAGTGTTGAAAAGGGCTGTGGAGAAGGGAGAATGGGGAGTTACTGTTTAATGGGTACAGTTGCAGTGTGGGATGAGTAGCGACCATTGCACAATAATTTACTTAATGCCATTGAACTGTACACTTAAAAATGATTAAAGTGGTAAATTTTATGTTTCGCATGTTTTGTTACAGTAAAAAAAAAAAAAAAAGTAGCCCTGGAAGGGTGACTCAACTAGTTGGAACTTCATCCTGTGCAACCCATGCACCAAAGGGTAGTGGCTTTGGTTCCCTGTCAGGGCACATACTTGGGTTGCTGAATTTATCCCAAGTCTGGTTGGGAGGGTGCAGGAGACAGTTAATTGATGTTGGTGTTTCTTTCTCAGTCCATGTTTCTCTCTCTCCCATTCTCTCTAAGATCAGTAAACATGTCCTTTGGTGAGGATTAAAAAATACATAAATAAATTAAAATTAAAAAATAAGACTTGTATGTGTTTCCATATTTTCATTGTTCTTCCTTCCAAAAGTTTCCTAAGTTTTGTTTCATTTTTACGGCTTTTCAGAAAGTTTACATCTCTTTCAATCTTGTTGATTTTTCAACAAGAGGCACAGCCCTCTATCCCAGTGGCTCACAATTCTGTGGGCCATAGGATGAGATGTGCCTGTAGAGATGAATGGGATTCAGCCATTCATCTCTACAGGCACAACTCAAGGCTGAACTCAAGGGGTTCAGCCTTGAGTTCATTCTCAGGAGTAAAGGAGGAGATGTTTAAATCACTGTGAGAGAGTGCTGGTCAGCAGCTGTAAACTTGAGACTGTAACTGTGGTCATTTTAAAGCTTTGTGCACTTTTTGTTTGCCTCCCATTTCCCTGTATTTTTCTCTCTAGTGATTAGAGGTAAAATTCTCATGAGAGGCTGGGGACTTATTTTGGGAGTAAGTAGTACAGAAGTGAGTAGGGCAATTGCAGCCTACTTCACAGTCAGGTCTTCAGAAGGGGAAGCTTAGGAGGTGGAAAAAAGTGGTGACATTGTTGAAAAGGAAAGAGAAGAGGACCAAGTCCTTCAGGCTTGAGAACAGACTGGCCTGGACTGGGAAAGAAAGTTGATGGCCTAGTATCTAGACACAAAGCCCCTGAATTACGCTGCAGTTCTTTCTTACAGGTACCTCTTTGAAGCAGTGTTACCAAATTTAGAAAACAACAAACAGAAACCTTGGGACAGTAGGTAAATTTGAATTTTAGATAAACAACAAATAATTTTTAGTATAAGTTATCCTACTTCAAAGGCTGGTTCTCTAAGGAATCTTACTTTGGTTTTTTTTTTTTTTTACGCTTTCCTTTCCACTCCTGTTCTTATCACCTTGAGTTAGCTGTTATCTCTCAGGAAGGCATTGCAACACCCTCCTGTCTGATCTTGCCTCTAGTCTTTCTACTCTCCCGGTCACTCTGCATTCTAAAATACCAGTCAGATGACATAATAACCTTGCTCTGAGAAAGTAAGTGCTGAAAGGGACTTTTGGAATCCTTGTTTCCTGGGTTCCTTGGACACGTCTGTGAGGAAGACTGGACAAGGGTCTCACAGAAACCCTGAAGTCTGATAACGGGTTGAAGGCCAGTGCTGGTTCAATTATTCATTCTCTAAACACTTATCAAATTTCGGGCATCACGGCACAAGGTATTCAGCACAAAACCCCCCTCCGCCCAGCTTGCACCCATATCACATTGCAGTGGCCTTCCAGTCCTCGGCTTTTCCATAGAGGCTAGAAGGAGATGTAGGTCATAAGAACTCCCCCTCTCTTCTGACTCCTACCTTCCCACCCCCCTGGGTGGTGCTTAGGTTAACCTGCCCCCTCCTTGCTGGGGACTTCAATGTGGGTTTTGGGCGGGGTAGGTCCATGAGGAAACTTTGTAGGAACAGCTGTCCTGGCTCAGGCAGTACAGCCACACAGTGCCCTCTGCCTCGAAGGCTAGCTGCACCCCTGTACCCAATGTGGACCACAGATGGGGCAGGGGGTGTAGTCAGGGTTAGCAGAGGGTCCTTCTTGTGGTGGTGCACACAGATACTGGCATCTGGTGATGGCTTTAACTGGGGAGGGGGACCTGAGAGTTAGACTTCTTTGGGCCTGTTAAGTCCAGGTAAGGGACAGGGATTTCCTGGTCCACCCTACTTTCTGGGAGGCCAGAACGCTGTTTAGGGAGCCCTACAATGCTTCAGAGGCAGAGCCGAAGGAGGAAACAGTAATGGTAGAAGCAGGGATGGGGTAGATAGGCAGTCAGGAGGCCTGAGATTCTAGCTGTTTTATCAAATGGTGCTCCTGGAGAGCTGCCATCTCACCTCCCCCATGGGTGAGTTCTCTGGTCAAGCCAATATCTGGTCAGACTCTAGGGCTCCAGCTTATCACAGAGGAGTCAGAGGCTGAAGGTGGGGTCCTGCCATTGGCAGCACTGGGAACTGCAAAGTGTCTGAGGAGGCCTGTCCTCTTCTTTTATCTTCTTTGTCTAACTTTCTCCCATCTCCTCTTTTATCCAGTTGCTGACCTGGCTTTCCCCCTGAAATGAAATTCCTCTAAAGGATGTGCTTTTTGTTGAAGTCCAAATGGTAAAGTTTTAGAAATTTTGGGAGACTTCAGTGTTACAGATGCCTTCACTCTGTGTGTCTGCCATCCCTGTGTTTTTAGGTCCCTGGACCCCAGTTCCAACATGTGTTTATGTATTTCCCTCCATCAAAGAGATGGAGGGAAATACATTCTCTATTAAAGAACAAAGTTCAACTGAGTAAATCTGAATACTAATTAGCTTTATTAAGCAATTCATAAATTTCAAGAATTGGGCAGCATACCATCTAATAATTAGAAGGATGCTCCCAGGAGTTGTATAAATTGGAAGGTTTTTATAGGCAGAAAGAGGGTAGAATGAGGAAATTAATAATGAATTACTTCAAGAAAGGTCACCTTCCCTAGGGTAAGGCAGAGGGTCTTATCAGACAGATTACCTCACTGGTGCTGACCAGGTATTTCCAGACTGATTGGTTTAAAATTCAACTCTGGGAAGAAACTGAAACTGCAATTAAATTAGTTACTAAATTTTGGTTTGGTGATATAACTTAGCAAAAATGACTCCATTTTGGTCTGTTCTTTTTTCTTTTTTTTTTTCTTTTAACACCTTTAACAAGCAATTCTTAGACACCAGCCGAGTGTTTGGGCATTTAGCTCAAGTCTGACACTATCTACCTGGACAGTCCACCAGGCAGGAGCATCAGATCCCACTGGTTGAGGGTTCAGTCCTAGAAGATCTACCACCATCCCCATCCCATTTCAGATGCCATTTGAAAGTCCAGGTTGTTACCTGTGCTTCTGACTTACTGGCTTCTGGCTTCTGGCTATAATTCAGAAGTTCCCCATGATGCTCTCCTAGGGTCCCATTAATTTGCTAGAACAGCTCACAGAACTCAAACGTTTTACTTACTAGATTACCAGTTTATTATAAAAGGAGGTAACTCAGGAAACAGCTGGATGGAAGAGGTGAAAGAAGGCAAAGTATGGTGAAACAGCACACAGGCTCTGTGACCTCTCCTGGTGCTCCTCTCTTCTCCAGTCTCCACATGTTCACCAACTCAGAAGCTCTCCAAACACTTCCTTTGGGTTATTATTCTACAGGCTTCATTACATAGGCATGTTTGATTAAATCATTGGCTATTGGTGCTTGAACTCAACCTCTACCCCTCTTCCCTGGAGTGGCGGGGAGGAGGAAGGGATAGGGGATTGAAATTGCTAGCTCTTTAACCACTGGATTAGTTCTCCTGGCAACCAGCCTTCACTTCCAGATGGGGTCCAAAAGCACCTCATTAATATAACTCAACCTTTAGTCCCTACTACCTCTCCAGAGGTCTGGGAGGGGGACAGAAAGTTTCAATCTTCTAATCACCTGGTTGGCTCCACTAGCCACCAGCCCCCAACCTATGGGGCTCATTAACATAACAAGACACCATTATTGCTCTAATCACATGAAATTCCTAGCGTTTTAGGAGCTCTGTGCCAGGAACAGTGTGCAAGACCAAATATATATTTCTCATATATCACATATTACATCATACGTGTGTTTAAATCTTAAGCCAATAATCATGTTACCCTAAAGGGCAAAAGAATTAAATAAATCAAGCCTAAATGGAGAATCAAGTTGTCAAACTCAAAGTCTGGTGGTTTTGTGAGAAATAAATGATAAAGATTTATTAAAGGATCTTAAATTTTGCAAACTTGGAACACAGCTAGGCAAATATGCAGAAGTGTTCCAAAGAAAGAAAAATTAAGCTTTTAGAGTAAAAAGTACATTCGTGCATTCTTAGCCCAGGATTGGTCCAGGATGGTTATCAGTGATACGTCAAGTGGTCTGGAAGACGGGCACCAGGAGGTCTGGTCAAGTCTAGTGCTGTGGGTAT